TATCAAAACAACCTTAACCCTTCGTGAATTTTTAAACCTTTCGATGAATATACCGAGTGGACACGTTAAAAGGCCTCCAAATGAGTATATTCTGTATCGAAAGGATGTGGCTCATGAATTTAGCAGAGCAGGAAAACGATTGTCGGTCCATTATATTACCGCGATAGCAAATGAAAGAAGGAAAAATCTTGGCGAACTTGAAAGAAAATTTTGGAAAGAGTTGGCATTGGTGGCTAAAAAATTACATGAGTACAAATATCCGCATTACAAGTTTTCGCCGAAAAGAAAATCACAGAAAATTGTTCCTAGCCAACGTTATTGTTCTTTTGCCGTACCGATTTATCAGCATTACCATAACTTTGCAGAGATCAATGAATTAGAAGTTATCAATTTTATGCAAAGTATCACTCAGTCAACAAAGTAAGTGCAAATAGCCATGCGTTATTCAAAACTATTTACTCAATTTTATTAACTAAGCAACATTTTATATGTTAGTAGCCCAGTACCTTTTGATATTGATATGATTTAACAACCGTTAATCCAACATGTAATGTTTTAAAATACAAATTTTAATGTAAAATTTATTCGTTTCGATAACTTTGTTAATTTGTTATTGATGTTATCGATTATTCTTTTACTATCACTTTCTTAAAAAGTCAAGTTTATTTGTCTTTCGATAAAATTTTGGATTGTTCGTCGAGTCGCTACTCGTTTGATGTTAACATGCTTGAGACGATAGGATGGGGGTTTTTTTTAAAAAAAAAATTTACTATCATGATATTATTTATTTGAATAAGATATGAATTATTAAATATCAAGAATAATTAATCAATATCTAATAAAATAATAAGAATTTTTATATTATTCATTTAAAAATTTACCGTCTATTATTATGACATTGACCATAGTTATGAGGTTGTGCTACAAACATGTGATGTGTACATTTCTTTTAAAGTAATTTGTGTGACATGTTAATGTATTGAATGGAACGAATGATAGTTTCTTATATACTAAACTAATAAAAACAATCATTATGCAAGTAAGCACATGTGAAATTTGATTCTATTTATAATGTTAGTTTTTTTTTTCGCAAAAACAACAATTTATATTTGTTGTAGTATATTTTTTTAAAAAATATTATAATTAACAATTCTAAAATTCGCATATGGTATACTGTATTATATTTTAATTTTATTATGTTTTGCTGAATAATTCGATACTTGGAAACCAGGTAAATATTAAGAACATTAATAAGTAATAAACAATATTAATGATAGTAAATTTTTTTTGTTAAAGATAAAGTCGAATTGAACAAGTCAATCAATAAAGTTTTCTCAAGCCCAACAGTTAAAACGAAATCGCTTTGTTATTGTCATTGTGAAATCATCACAAAAAACCGAACAATCATTTGTTTAAAATAAATTTGTATTTTTCCGGTTTTACCGATCGTTAACTGTTCGGCCATAACCTTGAGGGTATTCTCCGACTATACAGAGTTTTTTTTTTTTAACATAATTTTTTATTGGATGAAGGTAGAATGACACAACATTATTTGTTAAACCATCGTTGTAATATACACCCCTTGCATTGACATACAATTACGTAACCATCATGATTGGTTCTTGGTAGGTACAGTATCACATCGGCTCCTTTAATTATTATTGCTATTGTAATAATTTTATCAAACAATTAAAATTGGTGCGTGTTTAAAGATGATGTAATTTTTCCGGTGTCAAATTATCCAAGGTTGGTTACCATACAAATAAACAAACAATAATTCAATTTTAACTAATCTTTTTTTTAAAAAAAATTAGTTATTCGTTTCTAAATAAAGGGTTTGTTTTTTTATTCTATTTTTATGTCTTTAACGGATTTTTGAATTTGTAAACAATAATTTAATTAATTTCCATATATAAAACCCAAATTTGACTTGATTTATAGTAATAAAATAAAAACAGTGATTTTAATTAGTCTTTGTGACATCATGCTAATACAAATTTGACGAAGCAAAAAACTTTTGACTCAAAAAGAAAGTATATATTACAAAAAACAAAATAAAATGTCAAATAAAATTTCAATTGTATTCCTAAAAAAAATTGACGCCAAGTAATAATTGGAAAGATTTAAGAGATAACAGATGCAATTAATAAAGTTCGTAGATGTACAATACTTGCATGATTTTAGAATTTAGATTTCAAATACTGTAGATGGACCGATTATCGAATGTATCCTTAAAGTTTAGTCTTTTAATTATATTAATTAACACAAATTTTTTTTTTTAATAAATACAATTAACATTGAGTGAAGAACAATTAACGATATACTCTTCTGGCGGTGTAATTGCACGAAGTAATTGTGTTTATTTTATGACATATACAATCTAGTTTTATGTTAATATATATCATAAATACTTCACAATCCTTTGAAAGTATTCTACTTTGTAAGTCAACTTTGTTTTTGTAACGAATTTTTGAATTCTGTCCTTTAAAAAGTTCTCATATCTTTGTAATTCATCGATAAAATATGCCGAAAAAATCCAAACGAGCAAGACGGACACTAGCACAGCTAGAAGAGATTATCGCAAGTTCTAAATCTCAAAGAGAACTAAATAAAATTGCTTTTAAAGAGCAAGAAGGGATGATTGAGCTTCACAAGGAGACTCGGGAAGTTCAACGTATAATCAAAGGCCTATTGGAGCATAAGGAATTCGATGATGTTAAGACTACATTGACTATTCGTGAACTTTTAAAGCTTCCAGTGGTTGTGAAGAGTGGACACATTAAGAGGCCTCCAAATAATTTTATTCTCCAACGGATGGATGTTGCTTGTGAATTTCGTAATGTGAAAGCACAATTATCTGTTCATGAAATTACTTTAATTGTAAAGGAAAGAAGGAAGAATCCCAATGAAGTTGAAAGTAAATTTTGGGAAAAGTTAGCATTAGTGACTAAACAGTTACATGAACATAATTATCCGTCTTACAAGTATTCTCCGAAAAGAAAATCCCAAATAATTGTTCCAAGCCAACCTCTTCATCCTTTCGCCGCCGATTATACCCCAATGTATACGCAGACACCAACAAACCTTTTATTCCGAAATAACGTTACCATCGGCATGAACTCTTCATACTCTGACATCAGATACACCATTTGACACTACTGTATATTACTAACAGCAAAATTTAAAGGGTTGGATATACCTGAAGCTTCTATTTTTTACTTAAGATGTTGCGTGATCGACATAGTAAGTAAAATAACAACAGTTAGACACTATTATTATTCATTTATTGCTTTACTTTTTTTGCCGCTTTACATGTCAATCTTGTCATATGAGCGGGTATTCATTTGACAAGTCATTTTGTTTTTATTTAATTAATCTAATCTAATGAAATAATTATCATCTCCTTAATTAAGACCATAAAGATAGCCCGGTTATTATTATTATCCTACTCCATTTTATGAAGATTAACTTTTTTACTATATAAATAAATCGGGAAGACAATTAAATAAATAAGATTTTAAATTATACTATATTTTAAATAACTATCTATATTATTTAAGAAAGTGGGTGCCGGCATATATCATGGCATGCCCAACTAGAGCCACCCTTGAACACGGATTCTGAAATTCAGGAGGCCAACACAGTGCATTTTGTTTTATCGTACTTTAGCAGAATACATACACCTGATACTCTAAATGTCTGGCAATTTATCCTGATGACAGGTTTTCATTGATGGTTGAGCACTTTATTTGTAAAGAGACCGCAAACAAAAACGTCTTCAGTTTGTCCGTTAATCAATAATGTTACACAATTCTTGAAGGTGGCGTGTCAATTGCTTTTTTTTCATGGAAAGCATGGAATAATTTCGGAGAATGTAGCCCCAGAGTCGAGGTATTTAATTAAGCCCCAACAAGATCGAATTTTTCTTTATTCTATTTTTTTTTTTTTTGTTATCTTCTTTTTCATTTACCTTTT